ATCTCTTCCATTCTTGGCTTAAAGGAAGGGTGGTGGTTTCTTTCATTTGTTTCTCATACTCACTGTTGGGTATGTATTTATTGATGTATGTGAAGAAAACCTGGTCTCACCAAGTGGTTGGGCAAGGAAGGACATTGTAGATGCCCTGAGAAGGTCTCAGGGACCCCCCCACCCCCCACCCAAAAGGTCTTCAAAGCACTCTTTGGTAACAGCTGCTCTAGAGAAATATTTGCACATGTGGAACATACGGAGGTCAGCCAGCACAGCAGAATTGTTTACAACAGCTAGCAAACAAATTAATGCACACCCCCTAAAAACCAAAGCCCATCAAGATACTATACTATATAGTGTGAATGAAAGAGGGGGCTATGTAGTAAACCTGACAAGCTACTAGGGGACACATGGCGAGCCTGGCAAGCTCAGTGACCAAGTGTAACCACCTAAAATGGTCTGATCATAAATTCCTAATTGCAGAGGATATAGTAGGTAGTTCCATCCCAAGCCTATAGCTTCCTTAGTAAAGGTCAATCATTACCTTAAGTGAGCTCTGCCCATTGTTCTTATACATCTAGGATGACATACCTTTAGGCACAACAGCAAGCATCACAGCACAAGACCATAGAACCCCTCGTTGTTATCTTGTTCCCTGAGTAACATCTCTGTATACTGTAAATGTTAAGTATTAATTATCCTGTACCCACCAATGTAAAAATATTTCCCTAGTTTGCTTTTTATCCAATCCTAGAGATTTCCTTGGCTTTGCCTTCTCCTACCTCCTTAATCTACCACCACTGGATTTCATATAATCCTTGTGGCTTCTCCTTTTGACTCTTTGACAGGCTGCAAAACTGCCATTCTCAGGAGTATTTTCTCAATCCATTGAGATTTTGCTTCTGGAAATACCCTCAAAATTTTAGCTCAAACAAACCTGTATAAAAACTTGCTTTGCTATAGGTTGGATTTTCTTTTGTTGAAAACAGAAATATAAAAAGTAACCTTAATCTTTCTGTGCCTCATCTGAAAATGTAACTACTAATGCCAACAAGATTATTGAAGATTAAGTGAATTATGAAAAGTATTTAAAGCATGACTACCATGTAGTACTAATAACTATTATGTACTTTTATACTCTCATAAGGTATGGTGGTGTGTCTGAAAGACATAGGAAGATTCAAAAAGGGGCATGAAAGTATTCATTTTATTCTCAAAAATAAATCCTTTATATTTCTGTTATAAAATATGATATATTCATAAAACATTTTAAAGAGAAATAAATATGGAACAGGTTGGTTAAAGGGCCCAGCTGAAAAAGCCAGAGAGGCCAATTAGATTAGCTTACAAACTAAATGCAAAGTGTCCTAAGTGCTGACCGTGGTTGCTAGGAAAATAAAAAAGGACTGACAAGACTATGCTGCCTGTACTTCTATTTAATATTATGCCCAATCATTGTTGTTTTCCTGCTGCTCTCAACTATTAAGTTGATACAGAGCAATCACTCAATGTTACTGTTACTTGCTGTTATTCTTGCAGTGAAGGACTACTTAAAAGAATAATTCAAATGTATCATCTGCCTCCATGTTGTTCACCTTTTAGATTTATATGCTGGCTGCTTCCTAAAGACTGTCATTTGTGAATCTACCTGTTAAAAATACTTGCCTGGATCCAAGTCAAGGTACACCCCTCCCTCCCCTAAAAAAGCCCTCTATTTACCATAGCTAGCTCCATGCTGGGCTTATCAATGCTAAGTATGAATTGTTAATGCTCCTGAAATCGGAGTATGAGTAGCCTTCCAAGTTCATGTGGTTTTAGAAGGCCTTTTTGTGTTGTCATATTTTATGGTCATCTGTTTGTTAAGCTAAAATGCTTTATAAATTCTGCTGGAAATGCCAACCTTATTTCTAACATGACAATTTAAGTGTTTAAGCAGGGCCATTTCTTATGATAAACTAAATTCAGTCATTTTGGTTTTGAGACATAGTGACTTCTAAATTACACATTCTGACGTTGCAGGTCAAGGTAATTAAGAAGGTTGGTTAAACTTTGATTTGTAAAGGGTCTTAGATACTCTTAGTGCATTCTTGATCTTTAGAATCTACTTAAAGCTGAGCTTAGCATATAAAAGATATATGCTTTCCTACAGTGCCAGAAAGCACTCTGAGCTTTCTGGCAAGGCTTCCTTAAAGACTAAGTGTTGACCGCATCCCTGTACCACTCACTGCTCAGCTGCACGGCCTTGGCATAACGCAGGCATACCTCATTTTATTGTGCTTTGCTTTACTGCGCGTCACAGATTTTTTTTTTTTTTTTTTTAACAAACTGAAAGTAAGACCCTCTTCAGCAAAAATATTACTTGTTTTATTGCAACTGTCTGGAACCAAATCCACAGTATCTCTGAGGTATGGCTGTATAAGAGTATTCTTTATTCAACCTCCCAGTGCTGTTGTGAGAGTAGTGAAAAGCACTCCTGTTGCAATTAAGTTTAATTAACCACAATTTTTATATAATCACACCCATCTACTTACTGACACTTCTAACAGTCTAATCGTTCCTCTTTTACATTCCCTTTTACTGACCTAATTCGTCACTGAATTCCAACTGCTTCAGTCATTTTTTTCTCCTTAATTTTCCCTGACCTTTCTGCAAACTTGTTACTCTCATTCTGCTGAAACCCTGAAGATTATTTCTGGCCTCACTAACACAGATTCTAACAACAGTCACCAAAAACTGAAACTGAGGAAAAATGTGTCTTTATCAAGTATACCACTCTTTTAACATTCTCTAAACACTTCCCCCCGTTAGCCTCTAAAACCTTTCGCTGATACTCTCCTGTTTTCTTCCTTCACTATTCCCCTTTTTTCAAGTTTTTAACCTACTTTTATAATTTATCTAAATATAACTCTACTCCCACATTACCACTGCTCATTGCAAATTGTTTACTGAAAGTTTAGAAAGTTTACCGGAAGCATTTACTGTCCTGGCACACACCCTAAATGCCTTTGCTGCCTTTCCCTCTTTCCTTTCCTGATCTTGTGACAAGCATTTGGAATTCCTTCATCATCCAGCTTGCTCCATCCTCCCTTCTAGGAAAACAGTCTCTACCCTACCCAAACACTGCTAATCACTCTCACTTAGGTTATTCCAGTATGGAAGCATTTATCAACCTGTTCTGTGTAATCATCTATTTACCGTAATTTCTCTTCAGTGCTTTGCTCCTTAGAGCAGGGATTCTATCCTATGTTTGTGTAATCTTAGAGCCTGAAAGTATGTGAGGCACTTAGCATTCGCTAATAAAGAGACAATGGCTCTAACTAGAGGTTCCTCACATTTACAGCTTATCTACAGTATTCTCAAAGTGGCGGTTTCCAAATTGCTAAGTGTTCGCCATTCCAACTCGACAAATATTAGCGACTTAACTGGCTGGTGGCCCTGTGGAGGTAAAAATAATAATTAAGATCAGCTCCTCGTATCGTTTCTCTAAACGGCATTTATACGTGGCAGTCAGTAATAAGGTGAGAGGTAGAAGGCGCGAGCCCTGGGTAGGAGAAGCACAAAACAAAGTTACTGGGAGGGTGGGAAAGGGAGGCACTGCCCTCTACGGAATCGCTTAAGCAAGGGCAGGTATGCACTCCAGATTGCGGACTATTCAATAACTGCCAATTAGGCCGACCAGGGCGCCTACCTGGCTTGGGCAAGATTCCTAGAGGGGCCGTTACACCCACGTGACCAAAGGAGCACAATTTTCGTAATCCAAGGTGTGGATACAGTCATCCCAGCGGGTCGTGACAGTGTTCGGTAACCTGGGCTGCTAGCAACGCCAAAAGGTGAAGGGGGCGTGGGAGTTAAGAGACCGGCCAGGCCAGTTTCTAAGGAAAGGTCCAATCTACGTAGAGCAGCAGTGGACGCAGCAGTAGCACGGGGCGCTATAGGCGCCTCACGCCGTTCCCCAGCCTGGGATGAGACGCCCGGCCGATAACGCTCTGGAGGATGAGGAAAAGCAGAGGCGCCAGGACAGACCTGGGCCTATTCGAACGTCAACCGCTTCTTACCGAGAACTGAGAACCAGAAGTCGCAGAGACCGATGCTGCCGCCATCTTCCTGTCTGCCCAGCGGACCTCCTCAGCTCAGGAGCGGTCCGGGTTCTGGTGCTCTTCTTCCAGATTCGAGAGCCGCCCACCAGGGGCGACCCTAAGCCGAGCCCCAGGTGGAAGGGGCTGAGGAGCTGGTGTTGGGTATGGAAACCCCTACCACACACCCCCACGGACGCCCACGCTCAAAGCACACGCGAGAAGGGCAACACGTCCTAACGAACGTCTTGACTAGCCAATCAAAAAGGCGGACAGCTTCCGGTATAGGAGCAAATCCGCCTCTTCCCTCGATGACGTCACAAGGTAGCGTGCAGTGGAGACCGCAGAGGTCGGTAACGAAGGGAGCTACTATACTACTGTGAGGGGATTCTATGGAGAGGCGGGCCTTCTCAAGGAGGAAACGTAGGCAAAGGGTGGTCTCCTGAGGCAGCTGAATAGAGTGATTGATACAAGTTAAAGCGAATGCGAAGTTCAAACACTCCATCAGTTCTCTTGGACTAATCACCAAGGAAAGCGTTTGCTTGACTCCAGGACGCCTCTCCAGGTGAAGTACTCACCTTTCGGCCAATAACAAATGGAATGAGGAGGAGCTTAATGATTTGGTCCAATACAAGTCAAGAGAAGAGAAGCTGAGGCAGAGAGTAAACCTCGCGAACACTCGCGCAATTGGATTGGGAAGCTCTCACCCAAACCTCAGACTTAGAAATACCCGCGGCCCGGGTCTTCGGGCGGGGCGAGTTTAAAGCGGCTTTCGCGCGCCCAGAGCGTTGGGCTGTTATTGGCCAGCCACTTCCTCCCTTTGTGGGAGCTCCCTGCGTAGTCGGGGTTAGGGGTTGGGAGGAGCGGCCAAGTGACGCAGTAGCTTCCCCAGCTAATCAGGGATGGGGAAGGGAGGCCGAGAAGGAAGCGGATCCGCTGCCGCTCGGCGAAACTGCAGCGAACTACCCGCTTCGTCTCCCTCCGCCGCTTTCGGGGCCTAAGCAGGAGCGGCTGGGACGGCGTCACTGGGTGGGCTGGGGCGGAAGTGGAGGCGGAGGGAGACGGCGGCGCCCACTGGGATTTGGGCTCTCCCAGCGAGGCCCTGGTGGGCGCGAGGTAGGGGGAGGGGGAGGAGGAGGAGCCCGCGGCCCGGGCGGCGGCGCCCGACTTCCCCGTAGGGCCCCGCCTCGGAGCGGGCGCCTTGGAGGAGGAGACTGAGGAGCAGGATGGCGGCCTCGGCCCTGTACGCCTGCACCAAGTGTACCCAGCGCTATCCCTTCGAGGAGCTCTCCCAGGGCCAGCAGCTCTGCAAGGTCCGTGGGTGCTGGGCGGCGGGCGGGCGGGGTTTCCTCGGCTGTAGCCCGAGGGAGCTGGGTGCCCGCTGCACTGCAGCCCCGCTCTCTTTGCCGGCGCCTTGGGGGTTTGGAGCCCTCGCCCCCTCACCCGGGGACCCTTTTATCGGATGACCTGGGCAACATCTGGAAAGGCCTCTGAGAGGAAGACAGACTCCTGCCCTCTTCCAGGCGGCCCAGGAGGGGTCCGGGCCCCAACAACGTTCAGGGGTCTCAGGGGTGGGGCTGACTGAGGCAGCCACCTGTCTATGCCGCAGAGACCGTGGGGTGGAGATGTTTTCATCTCGGGGTTTTTTTTTTTTTGTTTTTGTTTTTTTTCTCCTAAGTCCTCTCCTTCCACTGGGAGGCAGGGGACGTTTTTGCACTTTCTTGCTAGGAACCTGAAGCAGCAAAGCTGATGGCATCCTTCTTCCCTGTCCAGGAAAGCGAAGCGACTGGCTTGGGAACAGAATGCTCTATGATTTGGAGCTCCTCCCATCCCATTAAAGCCGGGATGCTGTCTGTGAGCAACGGTGCAAAATAAGTAGTTTCACATTTAACCAATACTTGAAATCGGCCCTGACAGCTTTCTTAATTTATCTGTAGTATACCCTCCACCCCCCACATCTAATAAAGACAAAGACACCTATGACTTTCCTAAGCAATTACGCTGTAATTGGCCACTTACATGATAAATCACCCCAGTACCTACATTGGGGGACAGATTTTATTAATGTTTTAGACACTGACTAGTTTAGGTAATAATCTTAAACCAGAATAGTGAAACTTGGGACTTTGAGATAGATACTGATTAATTCACTGTCTTATTACAGGAATGTCGGATTGCGCATCCTATTGTAAAATGTACTTACTGCAGATCAGAATTTCAACAAGAGAGGTTTGTATATTGCATAGTTTTTGATTGTTAAAGTGTTGTTTGTAAGGAATACTTGGGGGTTATATCTCCATATTTGTATTAAAGTATTTTTTTAAAAACAGTTTAGCTTCTTAAATTTTAAGTTCTAAGCATTTTACACATGGTGGAAAAGAAAACGTTGACCAAAAAAGTAATGGTTATTTTACATTTAGACTCAGACTTCAGTTTGAACATGAGGAAATAAATGTTGTTGTATGGGAAATGTATAGCCTTGCTAATGAACAATTCAAATATAAGCAGATACTATTAAGTTAAAAGTACAACATTAGTGCTGACATGGACTGAGAAAAGGGCTATAGTGTTGTACCAACTATCTTCCAAGAGTGAAATCTAGTACTTTTTTAATAGGAAAATTCCTGTTAAAAAATAGAGTACACATGTGGAAGTAACTTAAGAGAAGAACAAGTAATTTCTTTATAAGTTGGTGTGGGCATAACAGTAGGGAAGGCCTGGTGAAAGTTTTGGTAGACACTGATATGTAACACAGCATAAATAGTGGCGAGTGTGAACATCTTGCAGTAAGATAGGAAAAATTAAGACTGTTTTGTTTACTAAAAATACACAATGAAAATGTATTAAAAAATTCATGTTAAATAAGTGATTTTCAACCTTTTTCATCTCATGGCACACGTAAACTAATTACTAAAATTCAGTGGCACACCAAAAAATACATTATTTTTTTGATCTGACAAAAAGAACAAGTATAATTTTGATTAATTCGTACCACACTGCTATTGTTGTGTTGGCTGTTGTCTTTTTTGTGAAAATCTAAGGGGAAAGGGGTCAGTGCCCCCAACTAAATAGTCAGGTTGTACATGTTCTAAAAATTCTTGCTGCACACTGGTTGAAAATGGAAGATGAGTAAATTTGAATAGTAGACAACCATAAAAAGACCTTTATGTTTGTATTTTTAAAAAATTTTTTGGTTTATATTGGAGTGAGTTTACATACTACTAAAACAAGTTTTACATTTTTTCTGCTTTGTTCAACATCATGTGCATTAACTCAGAAAGCTGCATAAATTTGATCACGTACAATTTTCTTTTCAGCAAAACTAATACAATTTGTAAGAAGTGTGCTCAAAATGTGAAGCAATTTGGCACGGTAAGTATGTCATATAGTTTTGTTTCATGTTATTGTTACTGGTCAATTAATGTTTTTCACAAAGATGGACCTTTTAAAAAGTATGTATAGTTTCTAAATATTTCAACATATCAAAGTATTTCAGGAAATTTTCTATAGACAGCCTATGGGGAAGCTGACAACATTTAAAAATAGCCATATTGTGTTCATGTTTTTATATATATTGAAATACAGGGGGAAATTTATGGTTTTATTCATTAAAGGTTCAAATATAACAAACTCCTGGTTACAGAGAAACTACTTACTCATCAATCACTGTTGCATATTTATGCTTTTCTCCCTTTTTCAGAACCTCCAACAATTTTTATATAGCAGCACACTTTAGGCACTTATTCACAGAAGTCATGACATTATCCTAGTACAAATCCTTACATGTGTATAACAGTTGTTATTGGTTTGTTATAGTCATGATTAGTCAAAGTGTTGACCTTAAAGCTTTATAAAATCCTGAATTGTCTTTTGAATATCAAAGAAAATCAAGGTATGTTTGTTATAGTTTATATTGAAAAAGCTTATGCCATTTTTTGAAGTTGAAAACTTACCTATAGTATGCACTCCTTGCATTATTTGTACCTGTACATGATAAATGTACCTGTACATGATAAATGTTTTTCATGATTTTTTTAAACTATTCAATAGAGTAACAAAAAGTTTCATAACGAGAAATAAATGTTACTAAATGAATAGAAACATGATAAATGTCATTGAACATGACAGGGCAGCATACAGTATGTCCTTGAATAACATTTTGTTATGACATTGATAAAATGCTGTAGGAACTTAACTCATATCAATTACCCTATGGTAAAATTGGTTTTGATATACATCATTTCTATTCAAGTCACAGAATTTATTGACAGTGTTAACTTGGGACTTACTGTATTTGACAAAAGTTTTTTTTCACTTATTTTCTTAATTCCAGAAATATATATATACACTGGGTATATTTTATGCAGCAGATTTTTAATATTTTTAAACATCTTTGTTAAGGAAAATATATATATTTTTTTCAGCCTAAGCCTTGTCAGTACTGTAACATAATTGCAGCATTTATTGGTACAAAGTGTCAGCGATGCACAAATTCAGAAAAAAAATATGGACCACCTCAGACCTGTGAACAGTGCAAACAACAGTGTGCTTTTGATCGGAAGGAGGAGGGAAGAAGAAAGGTATGTTTTATTTATGTTATGACATTCTGGAAATTATATAAAACACCAAACAAATTGGAAGTCATTATAACTAATACACTATTGAGACTTGATGTATTCTTTGAGTCCCTGAAAGCAAGTAGTTAGACAAAAATGCAGAAGAATGCATTTTTTCCTTCTTTGCATTATATGTAGATTCATGTTGATCAACAGAGTTTACTATACTTTAAAAAATATTCTGTGATGGCTGTTCTGTAATACTTGGTTATCTAACAATTGGTTTGGGAGAGCTGCTGCATTTAAATCCTTTCAGCTACTTACCCTTTTTGCTGGTTATTTGAAGGTACTGGTATGAAAAAATTCTGATAGCATACTAACATGTATAATTCACAGTTAGTCTTGTGCCTCTTGATTTGGGGCTCATTTTAAATCATTATTTTTCTCTGTCTTCAGTGACTTAAAAAGTCTATGTGTGCATAGGCATTCCTCTGTTGATCAGCATTCATACAGGTTTCCTGTTCTCTGTCAGTTTCAGTCATTTAGAAAATGACTGTCGCTTTGAGGAGCTCCTCTAGCTGCCCCCATAGCAATACACGCACCCTAATTGTAAGAAATGTCCCTCTGGCACTTTTTAGGTGAAGAAACAGAAGCTAGAAACAATTTTATTTTTATAGGTTTAGTATTAATTTTGTAAAGAAATCTTCTTTTTTCTTGACATGTACAATTGATTCTCATTATTCATAGTAGTTATGTTCTATAAAGTTGCTGCAAAACTAAATTAGTGAATACTGAACTATTGCCCCTAAGGGCAATTGCAGGATTAGGTTTTTGCCTCTGGTCACAACATGGTAATCAGTATAATGTTTTGTCTTGTGTCTGTTTCTGTTTAAAGAGACTTTAATATATATTGTTGATTGATTAAACTGAAGTCATAGCAATAGAGTTACAATATACCTGAATGAAGCTTATCTAACACATGTATTTTCTACATAAGGTACATTACAGCCTTCTTGTGCTTAGGAACACTGCACATCACATCACTACACCTGGGAACCATTTTAAACACTGAAGTTACTGATAAAAAACACAAGATGCAAAAAAAAAAACGTGGCACTAAATAGAGCATGAGAAGGATACTTGTTTACAGTATGAGAGCTGAAAGAAGGCAGCAGAGCGTCACCTTGTTCAACCTGAGCTGGGAAGGTTTGCAATCCAGCTAAACAAATCGCTGCCCTGTGCATGTGCGTGAATGATCACGAAAGTGCTGCAAGTTGATTTTGGTGTTACAGATGAATGTTAGCAAGTAGGTGGTGACTTTACAAATATGAAATCAGTGAATGACAGTCAACCTTATATGTTATTTGAGCTCTTCTTTTTTTCTGTAAATTAACAGCTTTTACTGTAGTGGGAAATATTTTGTCATTTTAGTAATCACACAGCGATTTTAAGAATTCAGGCTAGTGCTCTGGTAAGACTTCTTCCAAGTATCTCATCAATATGTTCTTATTTTCAAAGTAATGAGAAAACCAATTTTTCTCTCCAAAGTAAAAAAGTGCTTCAAAGCTAATGGAAGTCCATATGTCATCCTCACCAATTTTATGATCCTCCAAATAAGCTTTTTCCCAAGTTTCAGGAAAGTCTAATTTTACCTCCATTTTGCAACACTGTATGTGTTTGTGTGTGTGTGAAATAACAGAATAACTAGAAGTTGAACACTTTATCTTATGGCCAGTTAACAGGTACGTTTAATCTAATACAAATGTTTTTTTTTTAAAGGTTGATGGAAAATTATTGTGCTGGCTCTGTACTTTATCATACAAGAGAGTTTTACAGAAAACAAAAGAACAGAGGAAGAGCTTGGGATCTTCACATTCAAATTCATCTTCTTCATCTCTTACTGAGAAAGACCAGCATCATTCAAAACATCATCACCACCATCATCACCATCACCATCGTCACAGCAGTAGCCATCACAAGTAAGTACTCTGAAATCATGTTTTCTAAAATCCTCCCAGGCATTTAATGCCAAGTACTAGCTATGTGCTAGTTTCCACTGTATGTGGTAAACTTCTTGAGTGTCTAGTGCTGTTTCCCCACTTTGTTCAATGTATAAAATTACATACATTGAATGTGATTAGTTCTTTACCATAATAATAAAAACGACATTTAGGGAATTACCATATAAAATTATAACCATATCATGGAGTCAAAATACAAGTACCTCAGACTTAACTAATACTTTACTTAGGTTATCAAAAGCCTCAATTTTCTTTTTTTTTATTTAAATACTTGTTAGGACTTTATTTGTAGAATTATATTTACCTTAGTTATTATTAATTTGTTTTAGGTAAAACTAAATTAAATCAGTGACTAGGAAATGTGCATTCACTATTTTCAATAACAGATTGTAACCCTGTCACTTGTGACCGTGATAGAAACATTCCAAACCTTGAAAGTTCTCAAAGTGTGAGAACTAATTTTTTTTTAACTGGCAGTGCTTTGTTTTATTTTTTAAAAACATATAGGCAAGGACTCTAAATAACTATGTGATTTTTAAAGTGTGGAGTAAGGAAGTTACATAGTAGTCATATCTTAACACTTTATGTGTGTAGTATAAAGGTTTTTAAGTGTGGTTGTAGTCATCAGGGAAAAATCAAGAATATTGAAACAAACATTTAAATGGAGAATGCAGGAACATGATACACACAGAATTTTAGAAGAATTCACATTTTTTCCCCAAATTTCTTTATGAGTCTTTAAAGGTCTAAATAGGTAAAACAATTTTGTTTACAGAAAACTGAGATGCCTACCACAGTGAGGAACACAGTGATATTTTGGGAATATAATATGGTTCTAATTAAAATTTTATTCTTAATTAAGGCAAACACAGATTAAATTATGGGGTGTTATGGAGGCAGTGATGTTGTTTACATCAGGAGCAATTTTTTTTCACTTGATTTACTTAACTGTGTTGTGCTCTCTGGATGTTAACAATGGTAGATTGAATAGCGACTTCTAATCTGGCTATTTTGAAGAAATCTTGTGTGGTCTTTATATAAGTGTATCCCGACAAGCATAAATCTTCCTTGTTTTTGCTTCTTGCTTTAATAAATATGACAAATGGTATCAGACAGACCTCCTAAGACTCAGCTGAAATGTGCCTTTACCTTATTCTTTAAGATAAATTTGTCCTAGTGTAATAGGAAAGGACACCCTCAGAGTATGATTATAAAGATCAAATTCTGTGACAGGAACTTAAATCTTTTTTTAAAATGACAGGTTTCAAAAGTAAAAAGAAAGAGGATGGTGTTTGGTGTTGACTTGTTTTCTTTTTGATTACTTAAGAAATACAAATACTATTTTGTATTTGATGGATATAGACTGACAAGTAGCTAACCAGTTTGTGGGGTCCTATCTTAAGTTTAGTAGATTAGAGAATTATGAGAAGCAGCACATATTGTGGTATATAATGATGGAGGATGGGAAGGGGAGAAATTCTGGTCAGTCTGGATCTAGGAATGGCCCACCTCAGAAAATGAGGATGAGAATTCTAAGTGTTTTCTGCTTAATCATTATTAATGTCATTGTTCTCACATTGTGATTTGGATAGTGCTGTTAATTCATGTATGATTATGTGGCTTGCTAATGCTTATAATGAAATTTTTGAAAGAAACAAAATAGCAATTGAATTCCTTAGTAGAGTTGCCATACATTGCCATAAGGAAAACTCCAGTTCATAGATTAGAGAATTAATCCCCCAACTTGGTATTTATTTAGAAGTGATTTTTAAGAATATGTTTGTCTTTTACTTTTTGCTTAATAAAACTTCTACAGCTAAAACAGTAGTAAATTTTATACATACATACACATATTTACATATTTCCAGTTACTGTGTATGTGCTAGCACGGTACTTATATAACTTATTTAATTCTCATGTATTATACCCATTTTATAGATGAGGGGACTGAGGCTTAGGAATTTTAAGAACCTTGCAAAATGTCACATAACCCACATCCTCTAATATCTCTTAAGAAATACGGTGTCTAGTGCAAAGGAGATGCTCTATACATGCTGAATTAGTAAACTAAACTAGGGGTTAATGAAGAATAGGTTAATGTGCAAGTACAGGGGGAAAATTTGTAGAATTCAGAGTGCATTATAAGGTGGTTATATTAATATCATGGCATAATGGAAATGAAGGAGTATATTGTTAATTATAAGTAAAAGCTAAATCATTACTGTGAAATTTCCCAGTATTTTCAGCATCACTTTTTCAGATTACTGACTAAGAAAGATCTAGAGACTTTGGACAGAGTTGGAGAGAAGTAGTAAAGAAACAAAGAAATTAAGATATTTTCTGGTTCAATTTGAGTTACTCCAAAGTAAGAATCTTCATGTAGAATTATTAGGAAGGCCTTCAATCCAAAGGTAGAACATCTCTCTGAAAGAGTAAGGGCAGCCTAAGTGCAATGATTCTCAGACTTTATAATTATAGATCCCTGTTGTGTTTCATGGTCATATACCCCTGCCCTTAGTGTGATATTAAATTGAATTTGAAGGTCCTCATTAAAATAAAATTCAGTCCCATCATTGTACCTTTCTTGAAGACCTTTTAAGATGGCTAGTAATTTGATTAGAATTTATCATATTAGGATGTGACTTATTCAGTTATATATTTGCTTACTCTGAAAATTTAATTGAATATGCCTTTCTCTGAATGAAAGATTATAATAAACATACAATTTGATTTCATTCATTGGGAAGAATGCTGTGAAATGCACATGTATTAAATAAATGTTGTTATTAGACGTCATTTATATATTTTTCAGAATCAGCAATCTGAGTCCAGAACAAGAGCAGGGACTGTGGAAACAGAGGTAAATATGTTAACATATATTCTGAAGTATTTTGAAAAGTATTTTTTAAATGTCACATCTCTTTGTCCTTGTTGCTTAGGTTTTTAAAAAAATCAGTGATGTTTGGTAATATTGTAGGGGAAGAAAAATAACTTATCACTTGGTGCCTCAACCATTTGTACTCTAATTTTTCTTATTAATGTTTGGTTTCAGCCATAAATCCACTGCAGCAATTCAGAATGAAACTCCAAAGAAAAAGCCCAAATTGGAATCTAAGCCATCTAATGGAGATAGGTAAAAATGAATTCCTTTAGTGAAAATTCAACTTAGTTGAACAGTTCTGGTTGATTGCCAGTTATTACTAGGTGAAAGAATAGAAACGTGTCGTCTACATTGACTTCTTCGAGTCATCCAGAAAAGTAAACATAATCAGTTAAAATTTTAAACTTAATTTTGGCAATAAAAAAGTGGCACTGAACTATGTTGTTCTATTTGGGGAATAAATTTGGGTTTTGAAAAAAGGAAAACAAATCTGAATAGAGAACATTCTTTTTATCTTAATTATTCTTCAGTGAAACACAAATCTAATTGTGATATTTTAAATTGACCTGCTTGGAAAATGTTTTTAGATTTAAAGTATTATGAGCGTGACTTTGTTTTAGTTCATTAGCCAAAAGTTTGCTGATGTTACTGTACAAATTGGCTGCCTATTGCTTTACACTAGAAGTATTGACCCCCTAAAAGCTAATACTGAATTATATTTCTGCAGGTGTATGTAATGTGTGCCATTAGTAAGGTAATTTGCCAGTTGCATCCATTTCTGTCAGGTACATATTTTTTTGCATTAGCCTTAAGGATGTTTGTGGAATTGTCTAATTTATGCAATTTGAACACCTGCTAATTTTCCTTCTACTTCATTTAACTGTGTTTTACTTTTTTCTTTTTAGTAGCTCTATAAATCAGTCAGCAGATAGTGGGGGAACAGACAATTTTGTCCTTATAAGTCAACTGAAAGAAGAAGTGATGTCACTTAAACGTCTCTTACAGCAGAGAGACCAGACCATTTTAGAAAAAGATAAAAAGGTAAGAACATGGTTCACTGAAGCCTGGTAAGATTTACATCTTGACTCTTACTTGATAATTGCAATTTTACTCAACTTTCTTCAATAATTTGGTAATGTTTGTTGTGCATGATTCTTATAACACATATTACGAAAGCCTAAAGTGGAACCTAGCAGTCTAATGAAGGTGGATAAAATAGTCTTTCAGAATTTATGTTCTAAGAGTTAATTGAGAGCTAATTGGAATTGTAATGATTTCTGAACATTAGTTTTTTTTGTTTTAACATATCCCCTCACCTGGGGATATGTTTATTGATTTTGGAGAGAGAGGAAGGAAAGAGAGTGTGATAGAGAGAGAGACAGGCATTAATACTAACGTGAGAGAGAAACATTGTTCAGTTGCCTCCTGAATGTGCCCGGACTGGGGATTGAACCTCCAACCTAGGTATGTGCCCTGATCGGAGTAGGAACCTGAAGCCTTTTGGTGTACGGGATGATGCTCCAACCAACTGAGCCACCTGGCCAGGGCTGAACGTTAGTTTTCATTAAACCTATAATTTAAAATAAGTTTAAAGTCTTAATTTGAAAATGCAATGTAAAAGGTACATTATGTGAATTCTTATGATTTAAGAAAGTAATTATATGTAGTCCTTGATAAACCAATCATGCATAGATTATTTTATAGGAAGTAAGTACATTTATTGGGATTTTATTTATCAATTAGATCAAGAGGAATATCAAATATGTTGCCTATTTAGTGAAAGTTCTAAAACTTTCTGTGTGAACTTCAGAATGCTTTTACCTCTTTGGGCCTCAGTTTTCTCATTTTAAAAATGAAAGTATTAATTCCATCTAATGGGATAGTGGTTGTGATGAAACGAAAATGTAAAGTACTTACTCCTGGCATGTGTAAGTGGCCATAGCTACTATTACTAATATTTGGTCATCTTTTGTAATTTTTTTATGATCCTAGACTAGTTTGACCTATTTCAGACATCTTATGCAATAGGAAAACATTAAAAACATTCATTTTAAAATTACAAACAAGACATGATTATAAAGGTGTGTATGAATGACCTGTTTCTGAGTATCTGTAGTAGTGCTTCAGTCCGAGCTAGCTTTTACTCTGGCATTCAACAACTTTTATGTTACATTTTCCCATACCTTGATGGTTTAGCGGATTTAAATTTATTTTAATACATTTTACCTGACTTGAAGCAAAGTCAGTATAGGAAATTAAGGATTGACATAAGATTAAAAATATGATAGTTGTAAGTGCCTTATTTTTTAAGGTTAATTTTGATTAACTGCAGGATTTTTCAGTTAATGAGCTTTTATGGAAATTTATGCATAGAATTTAGAGACATTTCTATCTGTATTTAACCTATGTAGAAGTTGAGTATAATGGTAAGTTTACTATAATAATGATTCTAAAACCAAGTAGTAATAAATTGTGGAATTTTGACTTTTTAAGGTACTTTTCCTTTTCCTAACATTACTATTGTATATTAGTGCACTTCATTGAGTTTTCTGCTTTTGTTAGCATTCCTTTTTTCTTAAAAAACACTAATGGTTTAGGAAAGTAATAATTGTAAGCCTAAAATAGCTACATATTTGCAATTTTTTCTTATAATGTGGATCTAAGACAACCAAGTTATTTTTCTGAATTTATTTTACTTTCTTCAGTGACTTCTAGAGCCAGCCATGTACTAGATCATGAGAATATGAAGATGAATAAATAAGAAACATTCCTTATCTTCCAGAAATTTATAATCTGGAGGCAACTCACAGTATAGTAGTGGGAATAATTATTTCAGTTGATCCTAAGTGAAGTGGCATTTGGGAATAGAAATTCCTTTGTAGTATAGAAAAGTGAGAATTCAGTTATTCTTTGGATTTGACAAAAGCATTGGCTTTTATTCAGAAAATAAGATTAAAAGACACCATGAACTCCTTTCTCTCCTTTTGCTGTTGTATACCTTTCAGTTTACTAGCTTCTAGGTAATTACAAAAAAGAACTGCAAACCTTTAAAGCTTATGTAATAAAAACTATGTAAAAGTGACCAGAAGCTTTCTTATGCATGGTTCTGATAGTGAAATTACATAATGTCAACTTATTTTTTAAAGTCATGAGATTTTTTATTTTTTTGTATCATTGATACGAAAATTTTTCATGTTGCCTTTACGTCCTCAAATCACTTTTTCCTTACATTTGTCTAATTTAGCCCAAATTTTAAAGTAACTCCTTTTTTATCCTTGTTACTTTATCTGTTGTATTTCTGTGCTTTGTCCTTCATTTTTACCTCAAATGTTAGTTGGAATTGGAGACATAATTCTGTCATATTTTCAAATGAAAGCAATATAAATCTTGGTTCATAGGATTGTTCCTCTTTGTACTTGCCTCTGTGAAACTTTTTTCTTAACCATTGAAAGATAGTTTAACTTGCAACCAGTTTTATTGTTTACTTTTTTTATATATATAACATAAAGTACATTTTAATTGAAACACTTTTCAAGGTATTAGCCATTAAGCTTTCCTGTTGGCATACCAGTTGCCAAGCTCTGTCCAATGAAACCCTTTGAATAGAAACAAAAAGACAGCGTCTCAAAAGTTTTACTGATGATTCAGTATCATCAGTTGGTTAGTGTTATCCTGAGCCAGACATATACTGGATCATCGAGGATACAAAGATGAATAAATAAGAAACATTCTTTAATATCCAGAAATTGGTAATCTGGAGGCAACTCACAGTACAGTAATGAGAATAATTGTCTTAGGTGATCTGATGTGATCTTTGGTCAGGGCACATACAAGAAGCAACCAATGAATGCATAAATAAGTGGAACAGTAAATCGATGTCTCTCTCCCCCTCTCCCCCCCCCTTCTCTCCTTCTCTCCCCCTCATCTCCCTCCCTCCCTCCCCCTCTCTCCCCCCTCCACCCATCCCCTCTCCCTCCCTCCTTTTCTTCTTTTCTTCCTCCTTCTACCCCTCCTCTTGCTCTCCGAAAATCAATTTAAAAAATTTATGATAGAATTCATCATTTTGTATAACATAAATTCTATATAATATAAAATTCAGAAACTCAAAATTCACTTTTATAATCAATTATGAGTTTATTGCAAAGAATATTTAAAATGTTTGTGTATATGCATATATATATATATACACTTATATATATATATTTTGTTTTGTTTTTTAATCAGTTAACTGAACTAAAAGCAGACTTTCAGTACCAAGAGTCAAACTTGAGAACAAAGATGAACAGTATGGAAAAAGCTCACAAAGAAACTGTGGAACAACTTCAGGTAAATGGCATTATTTATGCAAACTGTTAGGCAAGGAGGGCTAAACTTCGTTAATAGTATTCATTGTCTTAGACTGGTACAGCTATCCCTATTTTATGCATATTTGGTGCATTTTCAGCTTTGATTCAGACTTTGCAATAGTTTTTAAGCCTGCCATCATTAAAAGTTATTGTTTGCCAGCTGTTGGCCTGTTTCATGTATCCATGCCTCTGTTTCTATTTTGTCAGAGGGAGTGGGGAAGAGGAGACTGAATGAAGGAAGGTGAAGCGATCAGCCAAAGAACATTTATGCATAACCCATGGACATAGACAACAGTGTAGTGGTGGCCAGAGAGAAAGGAGTAGGGGGCTAGGTGGAGGTGGGCTAAGCAGGGGAACATAGGGGGCATCTGTAATAGTGTTAACAATAAAAAAAAAAAATTATTGCTTGAAATCACTAGATAGGGGATTCAGTATATTTACATTGATTCTGAAAACTCCTGCCTAAACTTCAAATGATGTTTTCAGAGGAGAATGTCATTGCAGTATGTTCAGTTGATCATTGAAAAACAAAACATTTAAAATGAGATTTGTGAAAACGAGGTCCTTAGTACATTGTACAGTCATCCTTTTTAATTCCTCCCAGGTAATGGGAAGGGAGATGGGTATATAAAACCAATTTTAATGGATCTCAAGTGGAAGAAATTTATGCTGTTCGCAGTGATGAAAGCATCTAAGTCCATCTCAGAGTACTGCCAAGGATATGTACTCAGTAGGATTTTAATTATAGAGAACAATTGAATGGTGAAGCAAGAGTCACCACAGTTACAAAGAGGGTCTTACCTGATGTCTGGTGCACTGAGATGGAGAGCGTCCAATGAGATTATAGATTATTTCCTTATTTAAGCTTTTCTCACCTAGCTTTCACAGACTTAGAAATTAGACCCCATTAAACTAATTACATGTTCTATTGATTTATACTCTTACATTTGTAGAATTAATCTTCGGGTAACAGGGTTTTCAGAAATTTTAAAAGCATAGAGGATGCCAGCACACACAGACTTCAGACTTGATGGGAGAGTGCAGCTTGGGAAGGAAAGATACTGCCCTGTTTTTCTGTTTTAAACAATGTAACACCAAGGAATATTTGGTATTTCTTGACTTCATTTTTTGGCTTTGTATTCTTTATACTTTCAAAGTAGCTTAAATTGAGTAAGATTAGTAGATTTGGGAACCTGTTGAAATTCGAGGTACAGGTTGCCTACTCTGACAGCTGTCTGCTCTTAACTCTTAATTTTTTGTACTATTACAAAGAATTTTGAAGAGAAACCTTAGTAGAACCTGGAACATAGTAGGCATTCAAACAGTTTGTTTAATGAGTAGTGATTTATGGGGATTGCCCATTTATTGGGTTTCTTATACATTATTGTTTATCACCCACCAGTAAATATTAGTTTTATGACATTATTTTTCTCATTCAGTTATTAATGCTGAATAATTACCTGGGGAAAAAATATTCTGTATGATGATCTCTGATTTAATGTGGTTTAACAAACTCTGGGGTACATCCAGAATGAAGGAACAGAAAAACTGAGCAGTTCTTAAACATGATAAAACTTGGTACTTTTCACTGTTCAGAGGGGCAGTTTGTCGTCTTACTTTTTCATATAAGCAGAGGGGAACATGTTTGACATTTTAGCCTGATTGGTATCTTAAGCCTGCTTTCTCTTGATTGGCAGCTAAATTTTTGTATGATAGAATAGTAACTAATATGATTTTACATAGACTACCTTATTTGCTCCTCAAGATAACTTGGAGTTATGTGGTATGAAACTGTTCACATAATTAGTCAGAAATGACATAGAAACCTGCATCTTCTGACTTTGATTTGACTGTACTATTTCCTGTTCTACACTTTTCCTACCACCTTAGGTTACTTAGGTTTTGTTTCATCCTTGTTATCAGACCACTTTCCTATATCTTTTGTGTTATTGCTGGAGACATTTTGTTACAGTTAAGTACACTCTTTTAACCCCACTCTCTTTAGCAACCATGTACTAGTAGGTGAGTAAATATAGTTAAATATTTGTCTTATCTTTTTGTGATAAGAAACCGAACCCCGTAGCAGGATATTTACCCTGTTGTAATAGTTCTTGAAACATTTTTAACTATTGAACCTGGGATAAAAGCACTGAGCATCACAAGAAAAAATTGCACAACATACCTAAAAAAAACCAAAAACACTAAATTATCCAAAATATCAAGAATGCCAAATTAAAAAAAGCTACTTTTCATTTAGGAGATAAGTTAATAAAAAAGGAAGGGTACTATCATTTGAGTGGCTACTATGTACGAGTCACTGTGTGTGATTAAATGTTTTATATATTTGATTAGTTCTTTCAACTCCTGTTGGGGGGTGGGGTGAAGTTTCTGTTTACATATGAGAAAATAGATTCCAAGTTACATAGTAGGTTAAGTTGCAGAGCCAGGATTTAAAGCAGGATATGTGTGTTTCTTTATTCAGATATTTGAAACATTTTTAACTTAAGTTTTTAAATAACTTAATAGATTTTTGAGTGTGAGAATTAGTAATATTAATAGATAAAAAGTTAATGTATCTATATTTAAATATTGCATTATAAAATATATTTTTACTATACCAACATTAGAATAGATTTGGGCTTGTCTCCATTTAACAACTGACGCGATGTTTATTTTTCTTAGTTTTTTTCTTAGACAGTTTTTCGGCAAATAAATTTATTAGTGATATGGATAGGAGACCGAATATATAAATGCAGATTGAAAAATTAGCTGCTAAAGAATTAAAAGGAAAAATCGCTTTTAGTACCTAATGTTTGAGTTCTGGCATGTCATACTTAGAATATGAAAATTACGAACTTTTTTTTATTTCTTAATGATAATAAAAAATAATTTGAAGATTAACTTTTTAATGACTTGGTATGTCATTATAAATGCTTTTGTGTAACTGTAACTTAAAGATATAATGATGATCTCTTTGAAACAAATTTGCAGACTAATAATCCCTTTTTATGCCCTTCATAAATTTTTGTTTTAAAATTTGTTTCTTAAGGTACATTTTTTAGCCAGTAAGTCTATTATAGTTATAAATTAAATATTCTGTAGTTTACCATAAAAAGAATACTGCCATTTGCAACAACATGGATAGATCTTGAAAATACATACACTGCTAAGCAAAATAATGGAAAAAGTCAAGAATCATGGTTTTACTTATATGTGAGATATAAAACTGAAAGTAACAAATGAACAAACAAGACAAACCACAACTCAGACACAGGTAACAGTATGGTGGTTACCACAGAGAACGGGGGTTGGGGAGAAGTAGTAAAGGGTAAAGAAGGTCAAATATAAGGTGATGGAAATTTGACTTTTGGTGGTGAACACATAATACAATATTCAGACAATATAGAATTCTAATTGTGCATCTGAAACCTATATACTTTTATTAACCACTGTCACCCTCAGAGAGAGAACAATTCAAAACTATCACATTGACTAGGACTGGTCAACTGAGTAATAAACCAGTTGATCATGAGTGTGCTCACCAGGCTTCCACTAACTTACTGCCAGGCATTCTTAATGATTTATCCTGAGCTTCTCAAACTGTTTAGTTTTAAAAAAGAAAATAAAAATCCTTTTAAATTCTTGATGGTTCTCTAAATTTGAAATTGAAGCTCTTAATTACCATCTTTAATTGTTTAACAACCAGGAACAGAAATGCTGTTAATTGCATGGTCATAAAATAAAAATGATTTGATTTACAAATATGAGGTTGCTCTAAGAATATTTGCATTTCAGGGGTCATAGGTGTTAATTAGAAAGGGTATGATTGGAGAAGAGTTGGAGAGTCGGAGTACAAAACCTGCAGAGGTTCCTGTTTCATGAAACTGCTTTTAAAGATGCTATGCAAGGAAGGCAGGGTGTTATGTTGCCATAGAAAGGCTAATACTAGGAGTAGATGAAGTACTGAAGTTTAAAAAAAAAAAGTCTTACCCAGATAAGAAATCTTGAGACCTGTGAAGGAAAGGAAAATGGTTTTCAAGTATAAGCCAGAGGATATCTTTTTAAAATTTTGTTATTTTAGGACAGTTCTCATATTTCAAACTGTTGTTGACATTTGCCCTGTTTTGGCTCAAAAACTCCAGAAGTGTTTGATCATTAATGTACTTGTATATATGGAGGGTCCTTATTATCTATGTTTCCACAGTTAAGAGGTTGCATAGAGAGACAGGCAGTCAAAATATGAAAATACACTGAGGGTCCCTACTCACACATTCCTCCTCACTAAACAGTAGCAATTGTCACAGTACATTGGCTCAAGGATAGTGTCTTTGTCAATGGTGGATGGTACATTTGAATGCAGTGTAAGTTTGGTTCCGATAGATGACAAAGTGAAATTTTGAATCTTGGAAAAAAATTTCAGCCTTTTGTAAAACTAAAAACAATGGTAGAGTGATATAACTTCTCAAATTATATCTAAGCCAGTACCAACTGACTATATGACAATTAAAAGAACAAAAATAAGATCAATAGGGTGGTTCTGATGGATGCTTCAGAAAAGTTTTTTTGAACATCATTAAGAGAGTCCTGTGACAAAGTGATAAAGTCAATGTTTTGCAAAAATCGCTTCTTATGCTTGTTCTATAAATAGGTGAACATCAAATGGAAGACTTTGTACAGTTAATAGGGAAATAGTCCTCCAAGATTATTATTTGTGTCATTTGATCTTATGTAAAATAAAACTTAATTTCATTTCATGTTTTTAGGATAAAGAGCCGAACATTTTTTTCCTAGGTAAAATTTTGATACCCTTTTAAGCAGATTCACTTTAAGTGGCCTTTTTTTTTTTTTTTTTTTTTTTTTGGTAAATGATTATATGTTTGGACAACAATATTGACACTTATAAACCAATCTAGAATTTTCCCTCTACACTTCCATAATTACAGAGATGAACCTAAATACACTCTTTCATTTAATTTTGTTAGTGTTTCAGTGAAATGTTGTTGTATAAGTTTAAAAAAAATAGCAACAAATAAGTAGTATTCTTCAGCATAATTTACTGTTTTAAACATTGTTAATCTTAAATGTTTTTGTTCCCACAGGCCAAAAACAGAGAACTACTCAAACAGGTTGCAGCATTGTCAAAGGGTAAAAAGTTTGACAAAAGTGGAAGCATACTAACATCCCCTTGAGAGAGTTACTGATTTAGCATTTCTGCTGAAAATGTAAATTTGAAAAAAATTCTGTGAAGCCCTTAAATTCTGTGTAGTGGAAAAATATTTTTGCACACCAAATGAACTGGCGTGTTTCCTATTCACTTTTGTAACTGACATACAGCATTTTTTAAGTTGTAAAACATTCAAATAAAACTTCAACGGGTTTGAAGTAACTTTTTAATTATATGATACCAGGAACTTTTTTGCCAGCAATAGTATTAAACAGTTGTAAAAGGAGTGCATGAGTAGTGCTTTTTTATAAAATGCAACATGCAATAATAGAATAGGTATGGTTTTAAGAAATCAGAGCAGCAGGGTTTTTGTTTTATTTTTGTTTTATACCATGCTAATTTCAGATAAACAGGTTTCAATTTAGAAATACAAAAAACTTTTAAACAAGGAAAATGGTGAATACTCGTTTTTTTGGTAATTGTTTCACTTTGCATCAACATTAATTTAGGAGGGAATCATGGTGCTTTTATTAAATGAGCTTCAGAGAATATGTAAATATATTTTTAAAATTTACATCATTAACATTAGTTAGTAAACTGGTATTTTCATTATTGCTATAGGAATTAATGTTTATTGTACAGTATCCAAGGTAAAATGTGTTTTGTTTTGTAAAAACTACTGTGGATTTTTACTTACAAGTGCCTTTTTGCCACCTAATGTTTTTATTTATAGGAATGCTGATCTTTTGTATATAGTTTGTTTTAAAATCGTGTTTAATAAATGTATATAAATGCATATGTACAGAAGCCTATTTCAAAAGGAAATCAAAGTTGCTAGTAAAATGTTTGAGGTTGCATTAAGAACTGATGATGCATATAGACTTTAGATGATTTTGTGGTTTGTTTCTGTGTGATAAGGGAAAGCAGTTGGTCATTGAATTCATTGAATTATGTCAAAATACTCCCCCATAGATTTAATTTTAAATCATTTCTTGATAGAGTAATTTTATTTTTTATGTGATATGGCTTCATGTTCATATTTTGTAAGTTACATGTTTTGCTTTATTTTTTCTTTTATAAAATTTTTAAAAATTTATAATTTTTCTGCAGTGGTCCATATACCTGCTTTCCTTATAATATGTGGTTATCTAAGTTAATATTTATGTACACCATAATTAATTTGTAAGTTTAAGGCAAATCTGGAAAAAAATTAAATAACTATTAAACCAATCTGTGACTATCTTTGAATAAATTGGAATCTATTGTTTAAGATTCAGGTACTATTTATAAGAAAATTATATAAGAGTCTTTAAAACTGTCTATAAAAGGTTAGGGTAGGGTGGGATAGGTTATGGGAAGTTATTGACTAATTATATTTTGATCCATTGGTTTTCAGCCTGTAATGGAATTGATCTACTTAATATATGTCAGTTCAGACTTTTAGTTGAATTTTAAAGCATCAGGCATTGCTAGATATACTGGATAGAGTGGAACGTTCTTTCTCTTAGGAATTTATGGACAAGAGTAAATTTGTTTGAAGTAGACTGATTATTTAATCAAGTTTGGAAACTTTTTTAAAAACAGGCATTGATTATGAATGTCATCAAACGTCATTTTTTTCTCAGAACACAGAATGATTGCAATTGTTTTTAACATTACTCATGTTTCAGTAGATTATTCCTGTGCTTATTCATTATAAGTTAATACCATATAATTGTCCAATGTGAAAATATATAATATAGAGTAATTTTCAAGTGATAATAAAAGTCTGGACCAATCAGATTTGAAAGAACTAAACCAGTTTATTTTTATGAGATTTTCATGTAATAGTCTTCCTAAATTTAATACGTTTAATGATACTACATACTGCCTTCTTAACACAGATTTTAATGTTTGCAGGATTTGCTAAGTTTATAAGATAGTCATTACCTTTCTCTAAAATTTTTAATGTTTTATATTCTGGTTTCATAGTCATTTGTCAGTCCACAGTGGTTATTATGGTTTTAAAATAAGCAAAATAAGCTGTGTAATAGTTCTTACACCTTGTTGGAGCCACTACAAAAGAAAGGTGCCCCTTATCACTTTTTAGGTAACTGATTGAAAATTGAAAATTAGTCTAAATAATTAAGCTTTGCTAAAATCTTTTAGGGGCTTTACACTATTTAGCACTAATTACCCTCTCCTTATTTCATGATCTTATTTTATAACTTAATTTCTTTGCCATTGTATAAACTATCAATTGAGTCCCAGTCCTGGACCTATATGTTGACATAAGGAGCTCATATTCTTTAAATGTGGACCTGTAAGGAGATACTATGGTGTGCCGTATTGTGCTTCTTAGCCTGTTTTCAGCTATTAGCATTTACCAGTGAGGGTCATTTTGGCTCAAGTTATTTATGTATTAATAGCCTGTGAATATTACAGTCCTTTTTAGATTGTATTGGTCTAAATATGCATTCTGCGTGAACCTGTTAAGCTGTTCACATGTATAGACTTGAAATACTGTACTTGTACACATCTGACTGTTGACATTTTGTACCTTTTTCTAAATCCAATGTTTCACAATAAAAACTTGTCAGAAGTTTTGTATTAGTTTCCTATTGCTGCTGTGACAAATTATCACAAATTTAGGGGCTTAAAACAGCAGAGGTTAATTCTCTTAGGGCTCTGGAGTCCAGAGGTCCAAAATCAGTTTCACTGGCTAAAGTCAAGGTTTTGGCAGGGCTGGATCCTTCTGGAAGCTCTAGTATAGAATCAGTTTCCTTTCCTTTTCCAGTTTGTGGAGCTGAATTCCTTGCATTCTATGGCTCTTTGCCTCTTTCTCCATCTTAATAGCCCAAAGTGTAGCATCTTTAAGTCTTTGCCTTTGGTATCAAATGGTATCCTGTCTTTGGTTGTAGCATCTCCCTCTGCTCCCTCTTATGAGGATGTCATTGGGCTCACCTGGATGAACAGACTAGTCCCCCAGTTCAAATCCTTAATCCCATCTGCAAATTCCCTTTTGTCATAGTAAGGTAGCATTCACAGATTCCAGGAGTTCGGACATAGATATCTTGGGGAACAAATATTGAACCTACCATAAGCTTTTCTTTTTTTTTTAAATCCTCACCCAAGGATATATCCTTTGATTTTAGAGACAGGAAGGTGGGGAGAGAGCAACATAGATGTAAAGAGAAATGATCAGTTGCCTCCTGTTCAGGGATTGAACCTGCAACCTAGGTATGTCCCCCAGGAATCAAACCTTCAGCCTTTTGGCGTACAGGACGGCGCTCCAACCAACTGATCTCCCAGGCAAGGGTAAACCTACCATATGCTTTATCTACATTTTCCCAGTAGTACGCCCTAAAACAACAGGTTGAGATAATTGGCTCAGGCCAAACAAACTTTATTTTCCTATCTGTTCATTCAGACTGCTTTCATGAAATAGTTTTCTTTAAAAAATAAAGTATATAAATACTGAACTATTTCAATTTGTTAAGGTGTTTTTGAAAACTTTGGAAGATGATTAAAACCATGCTAGGATGTTTGATAGGATAAAAGTTGAAGGTGTGATTTTTATATCCTAGCTGGGGAGACAATATACGTGAAAAAATATCTAGAACTTTGGTATTACATGCCCTTTTAGCAAGAGCATTCCAAGAATTGTGGGAAAGCTTGCTTCGCCAGTCACTGCTTTCTCAAACTTGAGCATGCTGCAGCCACTAGGGTGTGTGTTGGGGGAGGGAGTATGTTCAATGTTGCTGTGCCTCCGCTGCAGTTCGAATCCATAGGTCCAGGATAGAGCCTGCACATTTAGCATTTCTAACCTCCCAGAGAGTGCTGGTCTAGAGCCCGCAGTTTGAGAACCAGCGGTATTTAAAAAAATAAATATCCCATGATGTTTAAGTGATAATGTATGGAAGACATTTAGGGAAAAATGAGACAATTATTTGGAGCCCCACTTTAAAGGTAGGCATAAATTACTAGGTTTTTGAAAAGGAAGTGAGGTAAGACCGGATAATTTTACACTAGTCTAGAAGATTAGAAAATGTAGGAATTATTTTTGACGGCTTCATGTTATAGCCAAGGAAACAGCAAAAAAAGATAAGTGACTTGAGTTTTTACTTTTATTTTAAAGTCCTTCCATTTTCCAAAAAGAATTTCAGGTAGCTTGGTTTAAGTGACCAGTTGGCCACACATAAAAATCAGTTTTAAGGAATATAGTCATATCAGCCATCACTCAGAGGTGGAGGATAATGAGAAAAGTCAACTGGATATGACAAGTTTATGGGCAGAGAAAAAACTAAATTCTCAATGATGCCTTGATGTTTTAAGGTGTAGAATTTGTTTTAATTGCCAAGGAGAAGGTAGATGACCCAAACTCAGTGGTATTTCTCATGTTTAATGCTGTTTATGACTGCATTTGGAATATGTAGTGCTAGTCACCACTTCATAGGAAAAATATAATCTGAGAAGTTACAAGAGGATAACTGTATTTTGTATTTTAATTAAAAAGATTGATTTGTTTCTTAAGTTGTTAGAAGCTATAATTCTTTGTATATACCATGTTTTGTTGATTTGACTTTGGAGACATTTAAATACTTCTTAAAATTATAAAATAAAATAACCTTTAAAAAAATAAATGAGTATTTAAATATATATCCAGTTGCTACCATAACAACACAGAGAACCATTCTTACTGCTATAAAATTCAATAATGTGTACCTTTCTCATGGGATATGTCCTAAAATAAGAAAGAACTGCAAAAATCATATTGTCAACAATAATCATGTTGGTGGCAATGTTATTCTGAGATTGTTGTGGGATAAAATACTGTGAGATAAGGCAAGTGAATAATACGGTATTCTAATTCTACCATTCCACTTGTTGTTTAGGACTGGGATTCTTAGCAACAGAAAGATGATATATGTGTAGTAAAATCTATAGTCCTGTTTTTAATTAGAGTGATCAGTATAAAGTCAAGATATTTTTTCTGAGTAAAATAGACATATTCATCAGGAGAAGTATGGGAGCCAGCAATGTTTTGTCACGCAGGCTATGTAAGGAAGCTATCAAAGATTATTTAGTATGCTCTCAAAAGGACTCATAAGCCAATTCGAAGGTAGCACAATCTGAACATCAATATAGAAAATAATAACTACAATGATTGAAACATTTAATCTATTTGAATACATGAGTCCAAAATGTTACTTAATAGACAAACACATCATACAAAAACCAAAGTGCTCACCATTGGAGGATGCTAGTGAGCTAACTCACTATTTTATTTTGAAAATTGGGAAATAAAAAATCAGTATTCCTGCAGTTCCCATACAAACTGTACCTCTAGGTAAATAAGTTTGCTGAGGGATAGTTCCTCTTAAAAACACATTCCAGTTAAGTGAAAAAGAGATGATGGAATTGCAATATCACCATTTATCCGGTTACCAGTAAGTGAAAGATAATAGAATTGCATTATCACCATTTCGAAACTTTCAGTGAATTAATGGGGATAAAAGATGTTGGTCAGCTGCTGAAAGTACACAAGAGACACTTTTTTTATGGTACTTATTTTTGTTTTATTGAATGTATTGGGGTGACAGTTAATAAAATTATACAGGTTTCAGGTATACAGTTCTACAATACATCATCTGTATATTATATTGTCTTTACCAGCCCAAGTCAAGTCTCCTTCCATCACCATTTGCCCCACTACCTTCTCCCTCCCCTCTTCCCTCTGGTAGTCACCATACTGTTGTCTGTGTCCATGAGTCTTTTTTTCTTTACCTAATCACCCTTCTCACCTAGCCCCCAACCCCCTTCCCTTTGATAGATGTCAAAGGGACATCTCTTTGTTCTCTTTATTGATGAGTCTGTCTCCACTTGTTTGTTTATTTTGTTCAATAGGTTCCACATATAAGTGAAATCATGTGCTCTTTGTCTTTCTCTGGCTCTATTTCACTTCTCATAAATACTCTCCAGGTCCATCTGTGCTGTAACAAAAGGTAAGATTCTTAACATCACGTTTTCTGGTGGAGGAACATGCTGCTACCCATAGAGTAGTTGCCAAAAAAAGATTACACCTAAATCTGATAAGGCATCTACTAAATTACAGGAAATAGGACAGAAGATCATGTTGACTATCACTGAGGGGATGCAATTGGTATGACTATTTCTTCAATAAATTACAAGGAGAAAAAAATGATGGAGGGGAACCTATAGAATAAGAGGTACTTAGGAGATATCAACCA